GGAGCAGAGGTAAATCCTCCCTCTTTTAGGTAGTAATCAATGCCACCCTTTCAAGGTCCCCCGGGCATAAGGCGGAGAAGCCTCGAGTGGGTACAATGATACTAAAAAGTCTAAAATCCTTTTAAACCACCGGTACTTGGGCACTGCGCGCCGCGCAGGCCGCCCAAATCTGGAAGCAGCGCGGGCTGTCGATTCGATTTATCGACAGCCCACCGGCCGCGGAAATCGCGTAGCGTTAACGCTAAGGCGTCGCCCAAGTACTGGTGGTTTAAGGGATGCTGGACCCAGTTTACAGATGTTAAACCATCATTTCACGTGAACCTTGTTAAGCCACCAGTACTTGGCCCAGCTATCGATGCCGAGCCTGGAATGCCCCTGCGCGCCAATTTTTGCCGAAGCGCCGGGGTACCGTTTTGATTTTTTTTTTGGCTGGCGCTTCCAGCCATTGTGGTCCGGTACCCCGAAGCCCTAAAGGCGCGGCGCGTTAACGGGAAAGCGCCGCGGCGAATAGCTGGGCCAAGTACTGCTGGTGGTTTAAGTAGTCCTCTTATGGGAATACACGGTAATAGCATTTCAATTCGGAATTCGGGCCTGGGTCAGTAGCAAAAGCGGCAGGCCACTTTGGCAAGGCAAGCCGCAGGTGTAGGTTCGCGAGCCTCGGAGGGTAGCTTTGACAATTTAGGCTCTCCTAAGTTGACGAAAGCTACCTTCCAAGGCTCACGAGCCTCTGCTCTGTGTGGTGACGAAGCTATACCTTCCAAGGCTTGCGACCCTGGCACTGGGGCTTTTCAAAGTGGCCTGCCGCTTGCACTACTGGCCCCGGCCCGAATTGAAATACTACTCTGCCCGTAACTACCGTGCATACCGGCAAGAGCAGTCCTTCGAAACATCCGTTAAAATTGGAACGATACAGAGAAAGAGAAGATTAGCGCGGCCTCTGCGCAAGGATGACACGCATAAGCATGCGCTAAAATTGGAACGATACAGAGAAAGAGAAGATTAGCATGGCCCCTGGACAAGGATGACACGCATATGAACATGTGTGAAAATTTTGGAACGATACAGAGAGAGCAGATTAGCATCATGGCCCCTGCACAAGGATGACACATAAATCAAGAAATGGTATTAACAACAACAACAACAACAACAACAACGGTAAGAGCACTACTAAGCTTAGTATGAACTGGTTTTAAACCTCCAGTACAAGGCCCAAGCCTTGCAGAAAATGCTTCGTGCCTACTCCGAAAATTCCATGCCTCGGGCCTACCAGACCAAAAAAAAAAAAAAAAAAAGAAGTGTGCCGCTGGCGGTTCGGAAAAGCTTGGCACACAGTGCAGCGCCTCCAGGCCCCCGGTGTACTTACTGGTGGTTTAAACCACCAGCACCGTTCCTCCCTTGAAAAACAAATATGCAGCTCACTTACGGTGGGTGGCCCCCGAAAAATGTGACCGTCTGTAATTTCAGCAGTTCATTTTTCGGGGGTCCGGGGGTTACCAGACCGAAATGGCTCGTAGCGCCAGGCAACGAAGATGAAGAAGTAGTGAATCAGAGTGAGGTCTGATCCATCGCAATCACATAGCCAATCATGTGTGTCATGCACAATAGCACAAATATGTGAACAATCTCGAAACTGGTCTTCCAAATCATAGACAGAAGAAGAACCGAAGACTTGTCGCAGCAAGGCTACGACTCCTCACCGCCACCCTCACCGCAAAGTCACCGCTAAACGCCGGAAGATGCCAATGACTGGCTTCCCCAACTAGTTTCGGCTGCTGCCAGCTACGGCCTCATCAGGGGGTGTTCGCGATACTTGATGACGGTCTAGATGTCCTATATATACTATGTATCGGCAGTCAACTCAGTTTGCTCGTAGTAAGTCCCGGTAGTCCCANGTCCCGGTAGTCCCATCCAAAATCACAGGTATCAGGTCCTAAGTTTAGTCAAATTCATTGTTCAGTCCGAGTCCATTGCGCTTCAGTCTGAAAAAGTTTTTTCTACCGAGTCTAGTCCCACGTCTCGAAAGTTCCTGTCTGGTACTACTCCTAGGACCCTACCCTTCCTTGGTCCCTTAGTTCCGAAGTCGTTTTTTACCAGGCCACCGGGCCCACTGTTCTAGACAACACTGGTACCAGTCCTTTACCAGCTACATAGCCTGTTCCCCCACTTTTCCCAAGTGGGGGATTTTTCCTTAATGACCTTCCACAGGCAGTCATTAAACATCTTCCCTGGATAGTTCTGCAGACGTAGCTGTCGCTTCAGCGTAAGTAGCCCCAGTCCAGCCAAATCGTCATTCGAAGTCATCTGCCGAATCCGATACAATGTGCTCGTAATCACTGCTTTCTTCTGTCGTGCAGATGAATACGAGTCAAAGTCCTGTAGCGTACGAAAAGCAAAATCTCCTTCCGCCCAAACAGACTCCATGTTCTTAGGAAACATCTGGCAAGTCACTTTGTTATTCCGTATTTCAACCTTAGTCCCCAGAAATTCCCAGCTGCCCATCCCATCATCCGTTCTCTTCAGAGTTAATTGTTCATCGTACACACGGTCAAACCGACTCATGATCTCCTTCTTCCGTCGTTCCCCATTCCTCTCCGGACACCAAGTGAAAATACTCACATCATCCATCAATCTCACACCTCTGACCAAGTTCCGATCCGTCCCCAAACTTCTCAAAAAAATACATTCATTCATAGCACACAAGATGCATGCCAATGGGGGACTGCTGCTTTTTCCCATTGGTATGCCAACCTGTTGCTTGATCAACCTCCCCGAGGCAACGACATAAGTATGCTTAAGCTCAAAATCCACCATTGCTCGGATTTCATCGAACCCAACTCTCATCCAAGTATCCAACCCATCCTTTTGTGCAAAAGATGATCCTTTTCCTCGTCTCTTCACCATTACCATAGTTTTCCCTTTCGCCTGATACCATTCCAGTATCCATTCGACAGCAGCAGTGATCGAGTCACGAGGGAGCTGACTAAACATCTCTTTGATGTCATAGGCAGCTCCTTCCAGTCTTCCCTTCCCCTTCCCCTCAACCCACTTGTCAACTGCCCTCATCCTATCCTTCAATAACCCGGTCGCTTTCAAATTGAAATGCATTGATTTAGGCAATAGGAAAAGCAAATGATTCAAAGCTCTCGCTGTTCGACCGCTCGCTGTTTTCGAGGGTTCAGGATACGACGGGCTTATAGGCCGGAATCGACAAATATCTTTGGATTTCGGGATTATATAAGCTCGTCCGTATCGGCCCTTACTATCCCATCTCCCCAGCTGATCCAACCCAGCTTCCTTATAAGCTTTCTTACATCTTTCAAGTACCTCCGCCTCAGATTCCCAAACAGCTTCGAAACTCTCGTTCTTCTAGAACATTGTCTTCATACCCTTTGCATAAACTACCGGGCACATAATCCCAGTTTCTGCCGAATTCCGATCCACTGCCGAACATACCAGATCCTTCGTTAATGCCTTAACCTCGTTCAGTTCCCTGAAATAGTCCTTCCTCGATCGTTTCTTATCTTCGTTCACGCAAATCCCAGCTTCGCGGATATCAACAACAGCATTCAATCCTATTTTTACAAAACTATCATTAATTTCCTGCATCAATCTCCCAACCCTCCTCGTTCCATTCTCGCAAACGAGATTACGAGCATTTCTGACAAAATTGCACACATTCCCTAAGTCACTAAGCTTGCAGAGAACATCACCCTCCACTTTGGGAAGGCTACTATCTACACAAGTGCAGATTCCCACCGAATGTTGTGACGCAGTTCGGTGGTTATGGAGAAACTGACCGATCGAGCGGTTCTTACGCCACGTAACTAGCAGTTTCTGACATGCAAACGAAGCCACTGACTCAGGCAATTGTGTTCGAATCTTTCCAACAACCAATCCCGGATTGAATGCAAAGAAATCTCTCTATCATACGTTATACTTATACAAAATTGTTTCCGCAGGTTAACACCAAACTTATTCCAGATAACACAAGACAGAATATCACGAAGCGTTGACCATGTCTCGGGTCTCGAAAAGCATTTCACAGCACGAAAGAGAGACATCAATTTCACAAGATCCAACTTATAAAGCCGCTTCTTACACCAAGGATTCCTGATGACCTGGTGTAACTGTCGTTTCAGATCAGAATTAGCCTTTGAAGGAGCTTTCGATTTCAAGTCGATGAGCTCAAAATCCCCTCCTTCCTCGAATCTTTTCCTGGAAACACCGATCCGGCCCACATCACTTCCTACACGTATCACACTCGTTCCAATCTCTCGATTAACGATCTTCATTCCTGTGCCCAAATCTCACCTCCTTCTGAACTAAATTTCTTCCTATCCTTCCATGCCATCCTACATACTTCAACTAATCTCACGCTTCGAGTCCCTTTACAGTTGAACACAATGGGCTTCTCTTTCCGGATCCAAGCAGATCTACTGACCTTCCACTCCTTCCTCCCCTTTCGGTTCTTTTTACTCCTTCGCTTTCTTTTCCCTTTCGAATTCAAGGCCGGCGACCATTTCCCGATATACACTCGTTCCACCCTCTCCAGATCCTTCACCGGAACGAAAGCAATAATTACCGCGATATAGTTCGAAAAACCCCAACGCCTAAACCAAGAGTACAGTCGAGAATTCCTAGTCCCTTCCCTATGATTAGTCCTATACGTATGTTCTTCCCACCTGGTCAACAGACTCCGACTAGTTTGACCGATATAAGTCTTCCTAGTGCCAGGGTCAATGAGCAAATACACACAACCCTCGGCCCTCTCCCAAGTCGTAACATCAACATCAATTAAGTCCAACCAGGTGCCCAGATACTTACTCCCCCATTGGATTTCCCTACGAAGAACTAACAAAACTAACAAATATCTAAGTACAAAACTAACAAATATCTAAGTACAAGCTCCGACGCAACCTCCGGACTCCTATCGTCGGATCCGTCATAAATAGTCGCCGTAAGTCCAGGTACTTACCCAGATCTTGCCAGATCTCACTGGTCGGGCGGGTTGCTACTCCCAGGCAGGTCCTTGTCTGCCGGTGCATCCCTCGTAGATTCGCGTGGCGCCTCCCGAATGACCACTCCCGTACGTGGTCTGGCTGTCACCTCCTGAATAGCAACATCACCCCTCGGTCTAGGTGATGTACCTTGCGGAGCTGATGCGCTAAAGTACATGGCGCGCAATTCGGTCAGCTCATCCACAGCCTCCGGTCTCCCCCGATAGACCACTCCGGCTTCGTAACACATGGCCTCGATCGTCGCTTTCAATTTCTTTCCCAAAAATCTTCGAATCGCCTTCTTCAAAGCAACGACGGTATTAAAGTCATCCGCCACCGGTGCTCCTTCCCATAGGCTGGATCCCCTCAACGGGAAACCTATTGCATCGTTCTGTCGAGTCCGATGTACGACTCTAAGTCTTGGGGATTACTCCTCCACCCCCACAGCCCTGGGTGTTCCCGTAGCTCCTCTTCCGACCTTCGTTGGAGTCTCGCCTTGAGGGCTAACTTGGCACGCCTGTTGTGGCTGTCTTTTCCGTTTCTCCAATCTCTCCTTAGCTTTACCTTTGACCGCACGTTCTGACACAACCATTCTCCTTAGTCTTGCTTCAAACATTCGTTCGAACTCCTCCTTTAAGGACTCCTTCTGCTTGGCCAGTAACATCTCCAGCTTCCATTCTCTATCGGCCTCCTTTTCTTCTTTGGCCTTTTTCTTTTGGAGTTCCACTCGACTCTTCTCCTCCTTGGCTGCTTTCTCCTCATCCTCACGTTTCTTCTTTTCCTCGGCAGCCTTCTTCTCGGCTTCCTTCTTCTCTTCCAACTCCAGCTGCTTGGTCGTATACCTACACATCTGCCGAATTCCCTCCTCCAACTCCTTGCTCAAACCAACCGCAACGGCAGCTTCATTGGAGCTGCTCGAAGTACTTACTCCATCGTGTGGGGCTCGCTCACCGCCTTGATTCCCATGATTCCCTTGATAGGAATTACCTTGATTGCCTTGGTTATTACCCTGCCGCGGGGCTTTACACTCCCGGCTGATGTGTCCATACTGATGGCAGTTATAGCACTCCGCCGATCTTCTCCAATCCCTGCTGCTACTCCCTTGATTACCTCCGTTATTGTTCCACCCATTCCCACCGTTGCCGTTCCAACCTCCGTTCCCTCCGTTGCCTCCATTACCATTCCAGTTATTACCTCTGTTACCCCTGTTCCAGCTATCCCCTCCATTATTCCCGTTCCATCCATTTCCGCCATTCCCTCCTCCGTTACTATTCCCATTCCAACCTCCTCCGCCTCCTCCGTTCCCGTTTGGCCCTCCTTGATTCCAGTTCCCTTCGTTCCCGCCGTTATTACCAACACCATTCTCCCCATTCCCCGGTCCATTCCATTGACCTCTACCGTTCCCATTGGATCCCATCACCAAATCTCGATCGTAACAAAACTCCACACGTAAGCTCGTGCCACGTGTCCCGTACAAACAGAATCTCCTCCGAAAGTCGTCCTCAATAGTGTCTCTCCAGTAACTTAATACAGGGCCACCGAAGCTCCTTTTTTGTGCGCAGGCGCCGCAGGGCAAATTAAGGCTCGGCATCAGCCGGCCCATGTCGGCTCTTTTTTTTTTTTTTTTTTTTTTTTTTTTTTTTTTTTTTTTTTTTTTTTTTTTTTTTTTTTTTTTTTTTTTTTTTTTTTTTTTTTTTTTTTTTTTTGTTGTTGTTGTTGTGCGCAGGCGCCGCAGGGCAAATTTAGGCTCGGCATCAAAAGCTGGCCTGGGTACTGGTGGTCTAAACGACCAGTACACGCGGGCCTGGAGGCGCTGCACTGCGTGCCAAGCTTTTCCGAACCGCCCGCAGCGCCCTTTTTTTACTTTTTTCAAGGTTTTTTTTTTGGCTGGTGCCGGCAGCCATTGTAGTCCCGTAGCCCCGAGTTCCGAAAAGTCTGGAGTTGGCAACTCACAGTTTTCTGCAAGGCTGGGGCTGTGTAGTGGGACTGGCGGGCATACTTCAAAACTTCAAAAGATGTTGTGGCAAGATGACTTTTTTTTTTTTTTTTTTAACACAAAAGACTCAGCTCATTTGATTACGCACACCAAACGGGAGAGGCCGGGAATCCTGGACAAACAACCCGGAAAGGAAAAGAACGAAAATGTACCGGGCAGGTGTCGGGGCGAAATCCAGACACAGAAATGGCCAAAACCAGACCACTCTCCTGATAACACCCAACCCTTGGGAAAAAACAAAACAAAACAAAAAAAGCAAAAGCACTCCCACAGGCCAGAAAAGCCTCACAAACCTCAAGCCACCCAAAAAAGGACTACACACGGACTGAAAAGCCACACAATCCTGAGAACTGCCATCTTTACCTGAATAGAACACCCGGTAATTAGAGCTGTACTTGGGGCAATATTCTATCTAGGTACAGCAATACTGACCGGGCGTTCTATTGGGGTGAAGACGGTAGCCCCTGAGGCTGGCTCAGCTATTCTGAGCCTTCTTCAAATAAATGCACCCCGCAAGGACCATGGGACCACCACACAAACCAAAAACAGACCATGGGACCACCACACAAACCAAAAACAGACCATGGGACCACCACACAAACCAAAAACAGACCATGGGACCACCACAAGGTTCAGCTATTCTGAACTCCCACCTACTACAAGTCTTTTCTTTTTTGTTTTCTTTCTTTCAAATACCCCTTCTATTCTGGGAGGCAGGGGGGGTGGGTGTACTACCAAGTCTTTTTCTACATGCGCTACATTTCTTTTTCTTTGTGTTAACAAAAAAATCCCTTCATCTTATTCCATATGGATTCGAACTTGGCGTCTGTGTTTTCAGCAGTTCATGGGTGTACCCACTGAGCTAGGCCCCGTGGCACATGTGGTACATTTCTAATTACAACAGAATAAAGGGGGGGGGGGAAAGGACAGACTTGTAGGCCCCAGTCATAAAACCGCTAACTATTGTTTATGCCAGCGAAGACTGAACATTGGCTGAAAAGCAGGCCAGGTTCAGGCTGATCACGCAAAGGACAACAGTCAGTCCAGCCAGGCAGGCAGTTGTTCACTGGAAGGAAGGCAGAGGCGCCCGCGCGCGCGCGCGCGCGAGAGAGAGAGAGAGAGAGAGAGAGAGAGCATGATCATGAGTGACTGTATGTAGTCGGAAAAGCAGATCTATACCTCTTCATAGGTTAACCCCTTGGTCTCTAAAAGGGCGAGAGAGAGAGAGAGAGAGAGAGAGAGAGAGAGAGAGAGAGAGAGAGAGAGAGAGAGAGAGAGAGAGAGAGAGAGAGCAGGATCATGAGTGGCTGTATGTAGTCGGAAAAGCAGATATATACCTCTTCATAGGTTAACCCCTTGGTCTCTAGAAGGGTCCGCACATGTGCTACGTCCGTCTTTAGCTTGGGTGTTGTTGGGGTTGAAGTGGAGTAGAAGACTATGCGAGGTTGCAATTTTCTGACGAGACACAGACACTCCTGCTGAATCCGTCGCTGCTCCGCTGCCGAGAGCTGTTGGCAAGCTTTGTCACCCCCTCCGCCCCCCCCTTCTGCACCAACACTACGTCGAGGGGGGCTAGGCACAGTCGACGCCATAGCTGACAGCTTATCTATTTATAGAACACAACCAACCTTCACGACAGCAGAACAAGAGAGGAAGACAACCACCAAAAGGAGGAGTGTGCAGCAGAGCAAAGGAAGCAAGAGAGAAAAGGAGGAGAAAGAGGAGAAAGAGGAGGAAGAGGAGGAAGAGGAGGAAGAGGAGGAAGAGGAGGAAGAGGAGGTGGAAGAGGAGGAAGAGGAGGAGGAAGAGGAGGAGAGAAGGAGAGGAGGACAGGAAGGAGGAGGAGGAAAGTGAAATGAGGGAAACCAGAGAGAGAAGAAAGAGGAGGGAAGGGAAGGAGTCTGGGAAGGAGGGGGGGACCGGAGGACAGAGAAGAAGAGGAGCATGAATGGGTGCCGAAGCAATGGTAAGAGAGGATGGGAGAAAGGAGAAAAAAGAGGGAGTACGAGTAGAGAGAGCAATCAAAAAGAGAGGGTCAAGTAGAAGAAACACAAGCACAAGCCAATAACATGTGTGTGTGAACTCTGGATGACATGGCAGACACGGCTGACGTGGCAGCCACAGAAACGACAAGAGAGAGGCACAAACATCAGGCCAGGGCTGTGGTGGTCCCAGTACTATCTTTCGCCTCCGGGGTGTGGTGTTTGAGGGATTCCCGGCCTCATATTTTTCTTGAAATAATGAAAAGCCCACATGAAAAGAAATGCAAGGAACATGAGTATGGACGAAGCACAGAAATCCAGAATGCAAAATCACACTGAAGTCCCAAGTAGTCAAAGCCAAAGCAGATAGCACATGGAACCGAGTAACCATCCAATTGAGATTGATACAGAAGAATCGTGAGTCAATGTCCATGCCCAACAGGGCAACACCAACAGCATATCCCAAATGTAGCTCTCTCTTGTGAATGGCGCCAGGCGCCCTATCTACTTTACAGCTATCCTACAACTACAGCAATGAAAAGCAACTAGACAACTTGACTACCAGCGAGTGATGATGTCAACACCAATGCCGTCCTCCACCATCACCAGGTACGTGTCATCTTCCCCACACTCTTCCTTGTTCCCACACAGCGCCCTTCACCTCCGAAGTACCACCTTCGCCCTCACCTCCCCTGCACCCTCATGCGGCCCGGCTATGGCCGCCAGTGCCCTGCACGCAGGCAGCGCCCTACCGCCTAGCGCTGGCCTGCTCTGTCTTAGCACAGCAGCGTGCCCGCATATGCCAGCATTGGCCAAGCTCCCCGCTGCCTCGCCCTGCTTGCCTATATGCCAATGCAGCATGTGGGCGGCCTCCCTTCAGCCTGCAACCGGGACCCAGAGGCTGAAGCCTTCCTGATACAGTTGGGCCCCGGAGCAATGCAGTTGYGCCTYTCTTCTCAAGGCCTGCGGCCAGATTCAGATAGTGRGCCGATTTTCCCTTTGGCATTTCGGCCTCTCTACCCAGCATGCATTGTCGGCCTCACGTTTGAGTGCCCAGGGCCTAACTAACTCAGAGGCCCTGGGCATTGCAGCATTTGCTGAAATCCGAGACTCGGTGCACTCCAACCAACTGGCGTGCTGCAACTGTATAGACCCCACTTCGTGAAATGTTGGCACAGAGGGCTCTTGTTGATTTGCTGGCCCGCCTTCACTTAGGGCGGGCACTAGGCTTGCTGGGGCCTTAGCCCAGAACATGTACAACATGGCAAGGCCCCTACTTGAGGGCTCAATCCTCACAGAAATTAAAAAGCCCCCTTTTTTCTGTATAAAAAAATTAATAATAATAAAAAAAATGACCAGGGCTGGCAAATTGACAACTTGTGTTTGTGGCTCTTGGCGTGTCTATTGGGGCTGTCTCTTATACACATCTAGATGTGTATAAGAGACAGCTACTTGAGGGCTCAATCCTCACAGAAATTAAAAAGCCCCCTTTTTTCTGTATAAAAAAATTAATAATAATAAAAAAAATGACCAGGGCTGGCAAATTGACAACTTGTGTTTGTGGCTCTTGGCGTGTCTATTGGGGTGTCAAGGGGGTAGCCTAACAACAATCAATAATCCAGATGGCTTTAGGGATGTCAAGGGGGCACGGAAAATGAGCCGGCTGAAAAAAAAAAAAGAAAAAAAAAGGAGAGACCCAAAACGAGTACAAGTACAACAACAAAAAAAAGGGTGCCCAAAATAAGCTGGATATGGGGCCTCGCTCCACTACTCAAAAGTCAAGACTGTATGTCTGTGGACCTCATTATCGTCCTGATACATTGAAAATGTTGGACTCGTCCCAATGCACCTGGTCCAGAAATCGTCCAAATTCATGTAGAGTGTCGAGCAATGGAGCGAGATCCATTTGTTCATTTTGTGAGTGATAGAGACGCGTTGGAATTCAGAGGGGAAGGGGGGAAGGAGGAGGGGGGGTTGAGGGAAGTGGGAAGGGTTGGGG